GTCCTCCCGTCCCCTCCCTACCATTGGTTTTGAACCATTTGTTGTTCCCTTGTCCCTAGGTTGGCCTACCCTTCCCCTACCACCCACACTCCCATGTCCCTCCGGGACCATCCGTCCCTTTATTTTCTTCTCATATTTTTTTTTGTCCAACTTCTCTTAGCTAGGTGGGTGTACAGACATAACAATGTGTGAATAAAATTGGGATTGGCTTTGACAGCACAGCGCCAAAGCGGCCCATAAGAACCTGGTGACGACGGCTCTCTTTTTCTTAACTGAGAGAAACCTACCTCTGCTCCAGTTTCCTATCAGCCCCTTTTAATTCCTTTTCTTTTAATGTTCCTGTTATCTCTGTTAGGAACCCTACTGGTTCCAAGTGGCTTATTTGCTGGGCTGCTAACGATAAGGTCTGTAGTTCAACCCCCCCGGCTTTTCTGAAGGTAAAAGATGAAGCTTTATATTTCTTTACAATTTTACAGTCTTGAGAAATCCAACGGGGAAGTTCTGCCTTGTGCTAGGGAGATGCTTGAGTCAGAATTAGCTTGATGGAAGTGAACGGGATGAATTCTTTTGCGTTAGTACCTTTCCAGAGGTTTTACTATGTCCTACTTGCAATGTGTGCAACACAAAGCCCTCTCAACTTCTCATTTCCACATTTATATTCCTCAGTTCTATCTCCAATCACCCCATCTGTAACCCCTCCCACAGTATTGTCTAAGTACCTGATCTCACTGCACTTGACCTCTCCTCTAAGCACTGACTGTTTAATGTGTGTTCTTCCAATTACATGGTAATAGTTTTCACTCCTTGGAAATTTTATAAAAGTTAGGGTGTTTATTCTGCCTTTGGGATTTCCCTGGAAACCTGATAGTATTTTCTGTAGAAATTAGAATTCTTCCAGGAAGGGATTTTTTTCCTCCCTCATAATTCCCGACTGTCCTAAAATTAACCTTGGAATGTTGTGATGCCTTCTTGAAAAACAAAATCTGGTTGTTGATGGATTCTCTTGATGTACAATTTCTTAAGCCCATGTAAATGGCTATTCTATCTCCTTTCATTTTCAGAACACCAATGGCAAGGGGATGTAGATTGTGTAACCCTTTGGCATATCCTACATGTGTACTGCTAGTTTCATAAATATTTTAAAATCGTGCTAAT